GCTCATTTCTTTATGTATTTATTACTTCCTTCCATCTTGTCCTAATTGTATTTAGTCTCCGATGCTTGCATTAATTTTTTTCAAAGCCACAATAAACCTTTTATCTTTTTATTTTGCCACTCATCAATTACATTTATTTGTCCCGTTTAACAGCTTCTGTTTACGTCTCTGCTCTTCGCTTTGTTCCTGAGTTATCCAGCCTTGTTGTTGCTTATAATTTTGGAGGCTGGCAGATCTGGAATTTTCTTGGTTCTGATGCAAAGGCCCACTCGATTCTCGGGAATATTCCTTTCAAGCCTGGATCTGAATATTCCTCGTGCGCTTCTCCATCATTTGTTGAAGATGAAACCATTATTGAACCATATGATTTTTACATTAGTGGAAACACCAGTCATCAGTTGAATCCTTCTCATTCATTTTCATCTCCAAATCTCGAGTAATTCATGCTTTTGTGAATTAATTATTTATATAGGACTTGAAATTTTTTATATACTGAACGAGTATAGATGTGGGTTGATCTTGTTTTCGCAACTTGGTTTTGTTGTCAGGGCGACTTAGACACATCTTGTTCGAGGTCCTCTGCCACAGTAGTTATAATAATTCCAAGCGTGAGATCGTAGACTTGGTACATTCCCAGGCTACGTTTTATCAAATGATAATGTACGTAGTCTACGGTCTGGCGCTATGGCAGGGGACTTCGGAAAGGTGCGTCGCCCTTATAAGAAGACCAAGATGCGAAAACGAGATCATCTCATTTCTCTACATCGAATGGAGACTGCGACCAATTTATATGGCACAACCTCTTGCTCTTCGTATCTTCGTTTAAACGCGTATACTTCGAAACTATCAGTTGCTATTGGATAAGAACTCGAGCCTCTATATATTGATTAAGTTAACGATGTAAGGTCGCAATCTCAAGTATCGGTCCCTATCACTGTAAGGGACCTAGAGTGTCCTAAACTCATTTAACCTTCACTATTTATAATCGAAGGTATGAAGACCAGGATGGTGTGGCCTTTTGTTTGGTCGTATAGAGGTTGTTTGACCTTGTTTTCGCAACATGGTCATATTGGTAGGAAGACTTAAAGGAACAGACCTAATCCGGAGTCCATTGTCTGCATGCTAATTTCTAAAGTCGAACCGTGGACGTTTCGCCGGCATCGTCAGTGAGTATCGCCATTCTTAGTACCATAGAACAGCGCGTCAGAGACAAGTGAAGCCGATCCTTTGACCAAAAGTGTGCTAAACAGTTGTATCTCCCCTTCTGCCATAGTTTATTCGCGTTTCCGGTATCATCCTATTATGCTTTCACTATTATAATTTTTACCGTGGTTATTTAGTTATAGTGTGGTGTGCTCCTTTGAGCGACATGAAACCTTCAAACTCCAACTGTCGTTCTTACCCCCCGTTTAATCCTTGTGCAGGAAATGTTGATCAGAGTCTGTTTTATTATTATACAGTCCTCTTTCCTAGTCTTACCCCATTCTCTCTCTTGCTTCGTAAAATCCGTTTGCTCTACCCATTGTTCACCTATTTTAATCTACTCCTGCCACTACATCTGTCCTACTCGAGGCGTTATTCGCCCTCCCCTGCGTCTGGGTGACTAATTCGA